ATATACCACTTCATAGGGCTTTCAGTCCTCTCTAAGCGGTTTGGGTCCTCATTTTAGGATGGAAGGCTGAATCAACCCTGAGCCGGTGAGATTTGAACCGCCGAACTGCAGCTAACAGTCAGCTGAAGTGGCTGCAGTACTGCACTCTAACCACTGCACCACCTCGGCTCTTAAACTATAGTTTGATGTGCCATAATGGTCTCCTGTTTCTCAGCCAGTACATTCTTCACATTATTTCAGTCCTGCGGTTTCCTGCACAAGTGGTCTGAGTGGCTTTTTCGGTTTCAGCCACACAGGTACAGGTAGCGTTCAACTTAAAACCATTGTTTAGTGACCATTTGAACTTACACTCTTTCAAGCACTGAAAGAGCGATTTAGTGATCTTTCACACTTACGATCATTGCAGTATCCCTCATGGTCACATGATCAAACTTTGGATTTTTGGCAAACGGCATATATTTATGCCAGGGTCAGGTGATCACCATTTGTAACCTTCCCATTTGTGACCTGATTAGTTAAAATACATAATTATTGCCTTCTCATTCTTCTTTCCAAATACCACTTTAGGCTTCCACTTTCCTCTTGTAACGGTTTTAATATAAATGACTGTTCAGATGAGGACATTTTCAATAAGGCACAAGTACCTATTGAAAACACAGCAAAGGTTGGCTTAAAATTAATATTATTGGTTTAAAACAGGGGGCTCCAAACTTGGCAATCTTATTTATTACCGTCAACTTCTAGAATTTCCCACTCAGCAGTTATTCATAGTTTCTTGTTTAGTTTTAAGTGCTAATGCAGAGCTCTGTAATTCATAGAGTTTCCAGATCTTTCTCTGGTATTCTTAATGATTGTCAGAAATTGAATGTGGAACTTTGTGTGTGGTTTTCTTTATATGAGATATTACGGGCAATTCCTATAGGTAATCTATTGTGTGTTTTGCACTCTCCTTTGTAACCATAGAAATTAATAAACTAATATAGTAGCTAAGTTTAGAAATTGCAAATATTATATTTGCATACATTTTCTGCCTCTTTCTTTCTTTCTTTCTTTCTTTCTTTCTTTCTTTCTTTCTTTCTTTCTTTCTACCTGTATTTTGTTTTAAAAATATAAAAAGGAAATTTAGTGGTACATGATTCTGGCACTTGAAGAAATATAAAAGACCAAATGGGTAATATACACAATGGGTGAAAAAAACACGTTTAGGCTTTGTAAGAAGTTCTAAGCACCATACCTTTAAAACCTGTGTTTTAGGATTATATTTTGAAGTAATTTTGAGAATAAATTGGATTTGATTGTGTTTCAAAACAAAGGGTTTAATGACTCAGCTCTATTGCCTCTCTTTAACCTTTATTTTGGAGGTTGAAAAGTCATTTAAAAACATTCATATTGGATGTTTTTCTTCCAAAACTCATTCCAAAGGTGTGGTTGTTTAGTTGTTTTGTTTCATTTTTGGTTAGGAGAACACTGGCTCCAGCTAAAGTTACAAACCAAATAAAAATATGAAACAAATGAAGCTTTTTTAAATACGGGCATATTCAGAAATTAACCCAAACATTATGAGACATTTGGTGCTTCTACATTTATTCTCTTTAAATGCCATTGTAGTCCAAGGCAAGTTCAAGGTCATAGTGCTACCTTTCTTTATCCCCCCCTCCCCCCCTTAATGCAGTTCAGTGAATTTGCTTTCCTAGCAAGTAACACAGTTGTTCTCCATAACAGTTAATTTAAAGTATGGTCACTTGATTATTCAACAGGCTGTGTAATTTAGTCATTGGAAATAGTTGGCAAAGCAGCTGGGTTCCACTGTAGTCCAAGATTGTTCTACCAGCCTCTCGCAGTTCCACACGATGGTACTGACCCCCCCTCCTCTTGGGGAGGGGAATGCTTGTTTGCAAAATTAGGCTTTCAAAAACAGACTGGAGAGCAAATTGAAAACATGTGTTCTAGGAATCTCTCCCAGGACCAGTTTACCTTTAACAGCTCAGATGGTTCAAATTTTATGTAACTAACAAAAACCACACTTCAGATGCAGGGAGAGATAATGGAAAAATAATGATATTGGATGCACCACAGGTTCATTTTGAGTCTCCAGGGTTGCATTTGGAGAGAGAGAGGGGTGTGTGCGTTTGTGTATCTTCAGTTGTGAGGTTCTGGATACAATCATGCCTCTGTCATGGAATTAGTGATGTTTGTGTGCTTTCTGCATGTTTGCAAAATTGAACTCTATCACAAAATACTGTTGTATTCAGTCAAGTTCCAGCTGTCTTCTTCACTCATCTTGTGGATTTTTATTTTTTTTACATTTGAGCACACGGTGATCACATTAGAGGCAATACTTGTTCTTGCAACATATTGAGTCAGATCTAGTAAGAGAAGTTTTCTTCAATGAACACACATAACAAGATTGTACACATTTTTTCTGTTTGAAGCTGCCTCAGAAGATGTGTGTTAAAAAAGAAATGGCAAAGTCCTTTGATTGAAAAAAAAAGCTTTGAAAAACATAAATTGGAGTGGGGTCTTCTGCTGCTATAGATTTTTCTATATCATTTCATAAAGTCTTGGTTTCAAAGGCCATTATGATTGTGGCTGTGTTTCATAGATCTTTTAATTAAGCTGAGGAAAGCATTTGCTTTCAGGATAAGGGTCTGTTTTTTGTTTGCTTCAATTTCTGAAGATATCCCTTAAACAATCTATAGAGGATTGTTCTAATGAAATAGATTGCTGATTATTTTCCCTCTTATTTGATGACCAAATTTTCCAACTAATTACAGGTGAAAATTCTGGCTCAGAATGAGAATGTTAAGCTGCAAGAGGCTCTGAACAGTAATTTGAAGAGTGCTGTCATGGCAGCCTTTCTCATGTTGCCTGAAAGTTTCTCTGAAGAAGATCTTTATATGACGATTGCTGGATTGTCGTATTGTGGTGAGTATGGCTTTTAAATAGTTTAATAATAGATTTTTTAAAAACGAGATCGTAACTGTTAATGAAAGATGTGCACCAACTTTGCTTATGGTTTGCTAGCATAATAGATGGCTCAGCCATCTATCTGACAAACTATTAGGAAGAAGTGTTCTGGATCTTGCATTTGTATAGCTTAAATTATTTTCAGTTCTATTCACTTAGCTGGATACTCCTTTAGCACTTTTCCATGCATATGTTCTAAGTTATTTTTTTGTAGTCTTTCTCTGTTTGCCTACATTCTCTGTTTGCCTATAAACTTTTTTCTCTTTCTATGCATTAATGTATCTTTCATTCTTTTTTAGCATTCTCTAATATGCATAGTTTTCTTCATTCATAGTTGTCTTTGCTTCATCACCCTTTTCCATATTTCCCATTAATGTAACTCCTCACACTTCTGTAGTATTCTGTAACAATTCTTTCTATTCTATTCCAAGCAGTTTCCACATCTTTTTTTGCTGTCCAGTTTCCTTTCATTCCACTCTAAAAATGCAGGATTCATCTTTTTTCTTGCAAGCCGTCTGCTTTTACAAGAATAGAGGCTGAATTGAGACAGATCCAGACTTGAAATAAGGAGGATTTTCTTGATGTGAGAACTTTGAAGTAGTGGAATAGCCTGCCTCTTAAATTTGTAGTTTCACAAGAAAAAATAAACAGTCTTTGTCCAGAAAGCTATGAGGATTCTTGCATTGGTCAGGGATCCCTTCCAACCCTATGATTCTTGATTCTTTCTATTTTTCTCTTCTTTCTTTTCTATTTTCCCCAAGATCCGCTACAAATAAGATGGTATCCCACATTCAAAATTCCATTTTAGCCTTTTACTTCTTCCGTCAATTTATATTTTTATAAATTATCAGGTTATTTGTACTTTTAGATTCTTTGCTTTAACATATGCATGTTTACAAATAGACATATACTTAAATCATATATTCAAAACAGATGTTTTTCACAAATGTTTTATTCTTAGACTTCCGAATGTTCTCACTTTATGCATTTACGTGACTAATTTAATGCATTTAATGCATTTAACAGACTAGTTTTTCTCCATCACATTTATTCAGAATGTTGCACAATTTTCCTCAAACTCATCACTGATTTCTTTCAGTATCCCTAATTATCAGAACTTAACACCAGATTATTGCCAGCATATGGGTTCCTACTTTCACACAGGACTACCAAAGTCCAAATGTTTTCTGTCATACATTGTAGCCCTGTCTATACCTTGGCTTCCCTGAATGGTTTTCTTGTGACATTTGCAAAATTCATCATTTGCTGCTAATAATGACAATCTGTGCACATTGCCAGTGTGTGCTGCACAGCCATAGCCCACTTTTGCACTTAGCATACTTTCATTTTCTACAAGTGAGGGTCTCTAGAGGCTTTCAGCTGAATATCTTGTTGCCTGCATTCTATCAGCTGGAAAGCACCCATAGTTTTGATTTCTTGGATATTTTCATATCTGATTTTCAGCTTAAATCAGTTGAATGTACAGATTTTTGTTCAATGTAATACATTTGAGTGTTAAAGGGAGTATTTTACAATGAAAGCTTAATTCAGTAGCCCAAGAAAGATAAAAGATGCAGCTCTTGTACTCAAAACTAATGAATATATTATGTTGGCATGTTGTGGTCTAAGGATGTTGGGGGCTGTGGTCGAACACACGCGGAAGTTTTGTGATTGGGGCAAGCTGATCTTATCAGAACACCATTTTTTCCCTTAAACGCACAGGCTCAGACACTGCAGTTTGAACATTTGTGTCAGCCAGCAGTATGTGCCTTGAGCTCTCCTGAAACAAAGTCATCTGCCTGATCTGATAGAAAGAAATGCTAAAGGCGGTTTGAAGGTCCCCCCCACCCAACATGCCAACATAATATATTCATTAGTTTTGAGTGCAAGAGCTGCATCTTTTATCTTTCCTGGGCTACTGAATTAATTAGCAAGGATCTCCTGAGGAATTCTAATGCAGTTAATATTCTGCCTGCAGTTTCCTAAGCTGCATTTTTCATAAAAGTAGTTCTTACGATATTTGATGGACTTTTTAAAAATATATCTGTGAGGTAAATTATGCTAATGAGTATTCCAAAGCCACAGTGTGAGATTCACAACGTAGTGATTTTAAGTGGGATCTTCTGGCTCAAGGACATGTATTTGCTATATTTTCTTTATTATGTATCATTAGTTTAGTGTGCCCCCTTTGCAATGTATGTTTTCACTCTTCCTTTAGTGCAGGGGTGGGGAACTATGGCCCTGTATGGCTTGTGGACTTCAACTCCCAGAATTCCTGACTGGCTCAGGAATTCTGGGAGTTGAAGTCCATGTCGTGAAGGAGCCATAGTTCCTGCTTTAGTGTAATACTGTAATTATGAAGATAAGACTAAGTCTCAGTTTGCAGCTAGTATTAGAAATCTTATTAATTGTAAGGCAAACTACATCTCTGTAAACAGGTTGCCTATATAAATATTGATAACCTGACTTTGCTTTAGGCGATTTCAGAATGCTCATTGGAGAAGATAAATCAAAGGTTATGAACATAGTGAAACCAAACATGATACATTTTCAGAAGCTGTATAGCCACATTTTGCAAGATAGCCCCCAAGTGATATACAAGCATCAGCTGGGCAAGTTAGAGGTAAGCAGGTCAATGTTGGAATATTTTTTTTAAAAAAATGTAAACTATTTTGAAGAGTGTGATATGTTAAATAACAAGCTATCCATAGCCTGGCATATCCAGGTGGCTTGATTACTTAGGAAATCTGGAAAAGTAAGTCATTATCTTACTTTAGAAATGTGATTCTGTCAATCTAAATCTGGTTGTATTCAAGAGCGTCAGTTTGGTGTCATGGTAAAAGGTACTAAGCTAGAAAAGGGAGCCCAGGAGTTCTAGCAGGGGATTTTGGGGCCATCATTTTGGCTCAGCCCTAGGGGAAAAAAAACCTGGCAAAACACTTCCAAAAAACTGTACAGTTGTCCATATAGTTGATAGGAGTCAAGCCTGAGTCTGGACATACACGCACAAACATGTACTTAAAAATGCCATTTTGTGTGGTCCTTAAGATATGCAGATATTTTAGCCATCTTGGCTAAATTTGTGACTTTCAATGTCCATTCTTGAATTGTAGACAAGTCTTCCTTCTTCCAGTATTGCGCCACCAACAATCTTGCTGCCGTTATTAAGTGCAAAATCAAGTTAATCTATCAAGTTAATCTCTACCGCTGTACAGTCAGTAATTATACCTAACAAAAATAACTGAGGAGTAAACTTTATCCTTTTTTTAAGAATATTTTGTATAATCCACGATATTTTTATCCAAAATGCCTTAACCTTTTGACAAGTCCACCATATATGGAAATATGTACCATCGAGAGAACCATATCTC